CGCCTGCCCCTTCCCCCGCCCCGTCGTCCCCGCCGCAGCAGCGGCAGCACCAGCAGCAGCTGATGCAGCTGCAGCAGGAGGTGGCGCAATCGCCGCTGCGGGCGTCCCTCATCCGGCGGCGGCTGGCGCAGCGCGAGAGCCAGCGGCTGAGCCAGGGGCTGCTCACTCTTGAGCCGCCGCCGCAGGCAAGTGCTGAGTTGCATGATAAGACGCTGTCCCCGCGGCTTGCGTCACAGGAGCAGGAGCAGGAGCTGCCCCTGGGCCCGCTGCGCAAGCAGCAGCCGCAGCACCAACAGCAGCTGCAGCAATCGGCAACATTTCTGCGCAGGAGCGTCGTCGCGCGGGAGCCGCTGCGGTCGCTGCTGCCGGAAGGGTGGGTTGAGCGGGCCGGGGATCAGCCGCTGCACCGCAGACTGGCGCGGCAGCCGCAGGCGGCGGCGGCGACAGCCCCAGCCCACCAGCCGCAGCGTCAGCAGCCGCCACAGCTGGCGACGGCTGCAGCTTTCCCCTTTCAGCAGCACGTGTCACGGCAGCAGCAGCAGCAGCAGCAGCAGCAGCAGCCGCAGCAGCAGCAGCGAGTATCTACCTGGCAGGAGGATGAGGTGGCGTGGCACGCCCTGGTCAACCTCCTGGAGGAGCTGGAGAGGTGAGGGCACTGGGGTTTCTGCGTGGGCACGTGTGTGTGTGTGTGTGTGTGTGTGTGTGTGTGTGTGTGTGTGTGTGTGCAGGCCTGTTGTGTGCGTACATGTGAGCATGCTTATACACGAGTGGAACTCTGCAAGTGCACGTGTTGTGAGGCTCAAGCATCGCTCCATCCGCAGTGTGAGGAGCACATCAACGCGTTGCACGGCTGCAGGCTGCACAAAACATGCCGGCTTTTTGCCGCACATGTTGCATGCCGAAGCGCCCACACCTTAAGTGCCCGCACCTCAAACCCCCAACGCACCTTTGTCACCTCCACAGGCGCCTGGAGCGCCAGCAGGGCCGACTCACCTCGGCCGAGGCCGCCGCAGCAGCCGCAGCGGCGGCCGTCGCGCGCCAGTGCGGCGCAGCCGAGCGCGGGGCCCAAGAGCAGCGGTCCGCCGTGGAGGCGCTCTGCGGCAGCGTCAACGCGGTGCTGCAGCGGCGCACGGCCCTGCTGCCGCAAGGGGACGGTGGTGCCGAGGAGGGCGGGGCCGCTGGCCCTGAGGAGGCGCTGGCGGATGGGGATGGGGATGGGGATGGGGACGTGCTCCTGACAGAGGCAGATATGATGATGCAGGATGTCAGCAGCCGCCTGCAGATGAACGAGCGGCGGATGGAGGAGGTCCAGGTGGGGACGCGGAGTTCCTGGGGAGTGCCTGGATGACTGCTGACCTTTGTTGGTTGCGAGGCCCCTCTGCCTGGGATCCGCCCAGCTCCTGCTGGTGTGGGAGGGGTCTGCAACAGGCGGCAGCCCCTTGCATGCCACTCCATTTTCGAAAAGACGGGTCCACCTCGTGCAAGCGCGCCCAGCACACGCGCCCGTCTGTGTCCGCGCGCCGCGCACGCCGTCGTGCCAGGCCCTCGCGCGCTCGCCGAGCGCCGCGGGACGCCAGAGGGCCGCGGTCATGGAGCTGCGGCGGCGCGTCGTCGCTCTGGAGACCACCGCAGCGGTCCTCGCAGGCGGCAGGTGGGCCGCATTTCTTGGGGAGAGTACCCGCATGGGGCTTGAAGGCTCGCAATCGGCACGAACATGGCCGATATCACTTGGTCACGAGGAAGGAGCCGTCTTGGCTGAGCGGACGCAGACCCGTTTCCATGCGTTGACGCGCCGCCCCGTCCCCCGCAGGGAGCGCGCCGTCTCCCCGTCCCCCTCTGTGGCCAGCAATGAGGGCGGCGGCCACCATGGGGGGCGCCTGGTGCGCCTGCCGCAGCTGGCCCAGCAGGTGCGGAGTTGGCGGGTTGGAACGCAAGGGCGATAATCAGACATGGTTGGAGGCCCCAGCTATTGGTCTAGCTGGGTACTGACAGTGTTTCCACAACCGGTACCCAGGCAGCACAGCAGGGAAGCGTCAGTATAATTTCGCGCACCGCAGCTGCTTGACCGCCTCCTCCTGTCCAAGCGCCAGTTCGACCCAAACTCACACTTCTTGACCGCCTCAAACTCTCCGATCCGCGCCCTCCCTCGGACCCTCAGATCGGCGACCTAACCTCGGACCTCGCCCGGGCGCGCGCCGCCATGGAGGCCGACCTCGCACAGCTCAGCGCGGAGCTGCAGGCGGACAGGGAGGAGGTGGAGGCGGAGAGGCGCCGCGCCGCGGCCGCCGCGGCGGAGGAGGCGGGAGCTGTGGGCAGGGAGGTGCAGGCGCGGCTGGAGATGGCGGCGCGCGAGGCGCGGGCGGTGCGGGAGAGGTGGGTTCGGGGCGCCCGGCTTCAGGGCTGCAGCTGCAATGTGTTGCCGTCGCAGTGCTGGTTCTGCAAGCATGTTCGAGGAGCGAGGAGGCAGGGCGGCTTTGTTGCAGCACGATGCATCCGTCCGGTCACTGGTGCAGCCAGGCACATGATTGAAGCGGCCGGCACATAGACCGCGCGGCATCGCCACATGCCCCTCAAATACAAATGCAAACACAGACTTACACACACACAAACACACACACACAAACAATCACAAAACGCACACTAACACGCCCGCGCGTGCACCCACACACAAACACACACAGGGAGGCTGACCTGGCGCGGTGGTCGTCCGCCGTGCTGCGGCGCCTGCAGGAGCTGGGCCGCTCCCTGGGCGCCCGCCTGGAGGCGCTGGGCGTGGCGCAGGAGGTGGCGCGGCGCGAGCTGGCAGTGGCGGCGGCAGACATAGGCGCCCTGGAGGTGGGGAGGGATGGGGCTTACCGTACACATCGTAGGGCCGGGTGTGGATTGTACTCTTGCACAAGGGTGTGGTTGAGGGCCGCGCCGTTGTGTGTATTGATAGCAGCCAGCTGCAGTGGCAGGAGGCGGGAGGAGCCTGGTTGTGTGTTTGTTGTTGCCGGGGCGTGGGCTGCACTGCCGGCGGTCGTGCTTGAACTGTCTTTGGAGGGCGCGCACTGCCTCCTGGGCTGCAGGCCGGGCCATGCCAGGCAGTATTTTGAGGTTACTGCTGAGGCTGGTTTTGAGGGCAGGTTGAAGGGGATCTTTTGGGGGCTCCATGGGGAGGGGTTGCAGGTGTGAGCGGCGCAGGGCCACGGCAAAAGCATGTTGCCTTGAGCAAGCCCGGGTGTGTGAAATGGGGGGATGTGCCAAACACCAGGGCGCCATGCAACCGGGTGTTGGTGGACCTGCTGGGCAGGAGCTACCAAATTGCTGTGTACGAGATTCACTGCCACTTGTGTCATATCCGCTCCACTGCAGGCGGCTGCCGGCGGCGCGGCGGCCCCCTCCTGCTCTGGAGCGCGGCCGCCGCCCGACGCCGCCCAAGACGCCCCGCAGCCGGGCGCGGCCGCGAGGGCCGCCGCAGCGGCGATGCGGGGGCGGCTGGCGGTGGCGCTGGAGATAACGCGGAGCGCCTCCCTGCGCGATTTGGTGGGGGGCGGGGACGGAGGAGGCGACAGCAGCGCAGACACGGCGAGCGACAGAGATGGGGACGGCCACGCCGGCGCCGGCGCGGCGGCTGCGGGCAAGAGGGGCGACCCTGAAGCGAGCAGGCTCGGCAGGGCGGCGGGCGGCGGCGGCGGCAGGCCGCCGCTCGCTCGGTCGGCGCGGGGGCCGCGGGCGCCGGCGCCGGGGGAGGATAAGGCGCTGGCGGCAGGAAAGGGCGCAAGCATGGCGTCGTTCACGTTCCCGGCCAGCCCAGTGAAGCAGGCGCCGCCCCTTGCGGCGTCGCCCGGCACGCCGGCCGGGACGGCGGCAGCGGGGGCCGCGGCAGAGCCGGGAGAGCCGGAGGGGGGCAGGGCGGACGACGCTGGCGACGCAGGCGCGCGCAGGGCGCGGGCGCGATCGCGGTCGCGGTCGCCGCTCGCGGGCGCGGGCGCGGCAGGGGCCCGCGCGGAAAAGGCGCGGCTGCGGCAGCGCGCGGCGGCGACTGACCAGGACGCGGCGCCCGGCGCCGGCGTGGCCGGGGCTGG